CTATTATTTAAATTAGTAAATTTTAATCAATGGCCTTTAATTATACAGAGGCATACAAAAAAATTAATGTTCTGAGCTTAAGGTCGAAAACCCCCTACTGAAACCCCCTACAAGATTCGTAACTCATGCATGCTGAAAACTATTGCGCAGCTGTAAAGGTTAAAGTAAACTATTGCGCAGCCTTTGAAGTTTTTAATTTTTAGTAAAGAAAAACATGAATTAACATGTGCAAGAACATGGACGTGTTCATGTACAAGTACTTATACATGACATTGTACAAGATCATGTACATTTTCTTGTACAAGTATCTTTCTTGTACAAGATCTCACACATGAACTTGTTCCAAATTCGTATGCATTTTCCTCTACAGGAACTGGTCAGAACTTGTACAAGTTCAGTTGCTGATCCTGTACAGGAAATTGTACAAGATCTTATACAGGGATTTTCAGTAGGGCCATGATTACTTCATGTTTTTGGGGTCGCTGAAACACCGAATCTAAAATCAGTTTAACCCCATCACGTCAGGTAATTGATATAACCTCAAAAAACCTCAAAATTCGTCCTTAAATTTTAAAATCAAGAAAATTCGGATCTATAAGTCTACTTTGTTTTTGGGGTCGCTGAAGCCAAACCTAAAGTCTACTTAACACCTTCACGTCACCCAAATAGAAATGTCAGTAGCTCGCCGGAATTAAACACCAGCATGGTACTGACCCAATACTGGCCGTCGGTATTGACTTTCAGTACTGGCAATTTACTGACTAATACACCGAATAAGTAGTATGTCGGAGGTAAAAAAATATTAAAACCAGTATTGGCAGAACACTGTCATTCACACCGAATCAGTACTATGTCGCTGGTAAAAAAACATTAAATAAAAAAGTCTCAAAACTGTTCTAATAGGTAGAAAACGATGATTTTTTATTAATATTGTTTATTTAATTAATAATAAACGCGACAAATAGTTAATTCTTTGTGTTTTCATTTTTGTTGTTAAAAGTAGAATATCGCAAATTTATATTATCACACTCCTTAATACTCGACAGTTCTTCATAATTCGATATATTTTTTAATTAAATTTTCAAACTTTTTTACCATTTATATTTTACAGTCGTTTTTTATTAACTTATTTTTAAATATGTAATTTATCAATCATTTTTTTTGTTTTAATATAATTATTTACGGTAAAATAATTTATTAACAATATTCAACTGAAATTGATATACATAGTTTTATTTCAAAAAATCTTTGAAATAATTATAAATTTTTGTGAGGAAAAAAAATTCTAGAATAAATTCATTTTATTTTCGTGATCAATAGATAATACGGTCTTCGAAATCAAAATATAACATTAATAACATTAACTATTAAATGTAAAAATGGGAGTAATAAGCTTACAAGGATGAAATTTGCAATGGAAAGTGTGCAATAGCATTTTGTAATATAAAGTAAGATTTTAACTCCGGATGAGTACTTTGCCAGTATTATGCCAGTATTATTCTAGTACTACGTTAGTACTGGTGAGCGGGACAAAATCAGTACTGGACAGCGTTACCAGCCAGGGTTGGCCCACTACTGGCCCAGTACGGCAGTCAGTACTATGTTATACTGACTGCTAGTGTTGGGTCAGTACTACGCCAGTGGCAGATTTCTACTTGGGCAGGCTTTTGACATAACCTTGAAAAAATTTGAATTTTTTAATGTTTTTTTATGTTATGTCAAAAACCTGACGTGGTGGGGTTATAAATAGACTTCAGAATCGGCTTCAGCAACCCCAAGAATATAAAGTACTCATATGGTAAGACATATATCCGAACTTTTCTTGGTATTAAAATTTTGAGGACGAATTTTGAGGGTTTTTGAGGTTATGTCAAATACCTGAAGTGATGGGGTTAAACTGACTTTAGATTTGGTTTCAGCGGCCCCAAAAACATAAAAGTTATGGTTTGACCTCGAGTTCAGAACATTAATTTTTTTGCCATTAATTATTATTTTAATGGGCGATGCAAACAGGTCTAAAACTTCGACTTGGTCCAAATAGCATATACATGCATATAATATATATAGTTGAGGTGCGTTGGTTGCAATAAAATTTTTGATGTCTCATTATTATTATTTGCATCTGACACCTGAATTATGAGTCACTTTGTATATGTGATCCGATGTTGAAGTTATCTATTTGCAGCGGTGTCTGCATTGTTGAGCAGAACGGCGCCGTTGTTTTAAGATAGAAATGGAATCGCGAATATTTTGCTCGTCCACACGTCCAATAGGCGCAGAGTCGTCCGTGCTCAGCATCGACGCACGATATCTTAAGAATGGCGCCACGCGCTGTCGAAAGTGCATCAGAATACATACGAACAATTTTCGTCTTTCAAAATAGAATGAAATAAAATCATCGAATGAATGAACCAAGAGTGCAGAGAATTTATTTGGTACGGGTATATAAACCTCATACATATAGCAATCGTTGGCGCCGGTAACATTTCAAATGCATACAGTGTTTCGCTTTCTGAACACGAAGAAAAAGAGGATGTTTAAATTTTGATGTAGCATTTCACGCGCACTTATATGCAAGAACGTGTGGAAAATTTAACACGCATCTTACAAAGTGCGTATAAGGGGACAAAGAACAAATTTTTACTTTTTCCAAATTAATTTTTTCGTAAAAAATTAAAAAAAAGGGGGGAGGGTGAATGATTATTTCATATAAATCATTAGTTAGAATTTTCATTTTCAACAATTTTATTTGATACTGTTAATTTTTCATCCGTCGGATTGTATACCTATACGACTTTTTCTCGACTTTTCTTGGAAATGCAACGTTTTTCGACTCATTTTAATAAAAGGCAACATTTTCGACTTATTTTAAAGAATAAAATTATAACTTAATTAATTTATTAAACCACAGTAAAAAAAACAAATATCTATGACTTTTTTTTGGTAAAAACTGTAGTACTTCCAACATTTAATTATTTTAAAAATTTTAATCTAAAAAGTCTGCAAAATTAATTATTTCCAATAATTTTAATGAAATTCTTCGAAAATTGAATTATTTATAAAACATTTTTCAATTTAAAATTCTCAAAAATTCAATTATTGCCTAAAATTTTGTTTAAAAAAGTCCTCTGTAATTCAAATTTATAAAAATTTTCAATTTAATATCTCCTGAAATTTGATTAATTCTAAAAATCTGGAATGTAGCCCTTCGACATGTTAATTATTTTCAATAATTTTAACCAAGTTCTTCTTAAATTCAATTATTTAAATTTTGTTTAATTATTTAATTACAATTTTTTAATATTTAATTATTGTCCATAATTTTTAAAAAAAAGTCTTCTGCAATTCAATTTTACAAGAAATTTTTAATTTAAAATCTTCTGACATTCAATTATTTCTAAAAATCTTAAATATGTTTTTTTATATTTTTATTAAGTTCTTCTAAAATTCAATTATTTTAAATTAGGTAAAAATTGTTCTATTTCTTGTAAAGATATCTTATTTTGAAAAATAAGTGACTGAAATTATTTTTAACTGCATTTAAACTTGAAACTTTGACAAAATTCTGAATTCATAAATAATTGGCATAAATTAAACTTCAAAATTGTTTTTTAACTTTCATATTTTTTTTATTTTAATAGAAATAAAATATTTATTGAATTATAAATTTATTAGAATTTAAAAAATCGACTTTTTTTTACTTTTCTTCTAATTTAAATCGACTAAAACAACTTTTTTGCACCTTAATGTCGATCTGAAGCTTGTTTTTTAAATGAATTTTTATTTTTTCAATTATTATTTTAAATAATTTAATTTTAAAAGAGTTTTAACTTAACAAAATTTTTAGATACCGAATTTTTATTTGACAGAATTTCTATTTCATAGAATTTCTCTTCATACACCTTTGTATTTACTAGAATTGGAATTTTTATTTTAACCTAATTTTCATTCAATTAAATTTTAAATGTCAGAATTTCAATTTTTTTGAATCTTCATTTGTCCAAATTTTTATTTGCACGAATTGTTGTTTAATATAATTTTTTAAACGCAGAATTTTCATTTTTCCGAAACTGCAAATCAGAATTTATCAAGAAGAACGTGATTGGTAAATTTTAAAAATCGCGCCGAAATTTTACTTTCGATTATTTGTTCGATCATTTCCATCTAATAACAATTCGTACAAACAAATATTTAAACAAATGAAGATTTGGTAATTTGAAAATTCTGATATTCAATAATTGGGATCACTTTAAATTCTGTTGAATAAGAATTATTCTAAATTGAAATTCAGATAAATTGAAATTTAAATAAAAAGTTGTGTTAAAGAGAAATTCTGTAAAATAAGAAGTCTGTCAAATAAAAATTTGTTTAAAAAATAATTTCTGTCAAATACGAATTCAAAAAAAGAATATTCGTCTAAAAAATAATTATAATATTTGTAAAAATGAAAATTCTAAATAATGATTTTTAATGACAGTTTTATTAAACAATATTGTTTATTTTCTCTTTAAAAAAAAAGTTTATCTTAAATAGTTTCTTTGAAAATACATAATTTAGTTCAACAAAATTATGTACGAAATTCGGGAAAAAAATTTTCCATAAACTTAAATAAATTAAAACGTACTTAAAACATCATAAGACGCATTTAATGATCTTTAGATATACGTGAAAATCAAGATATTAATTCTAATTAGTGAAAAGTGTTATAATAAACTCTTTGAGTTTAATTATAGTTCGCAGTTTAGTATAGACGATTGGAAACTTGATGTAATAATGGTCTCGAGAAAATTATATTAGAAAAATATTTACACCACATAATTATTTAATATTTAGAATATAATTATTTAGTTATTTATTTAACAGTACAGGGGATCAATTTTTTTTTTTTTAATAAAGTAATTATTAAATATTTTTCCTTGCAGCAGAATTTGAAAGAATATATAATAATCTTATACCATCGGAAAAGGATCAAAGAACAAAGTCATCGTACTTAGATGATCATCTACATCGAACATATAATCCTGGAAGTTTGCGACCCTTTTTTTAAATGATTGTATGCGGCCCATGTGCGGTTGTTGAGGAGGCTCGAATCTGAAACCAGACCCCCTTCTATGCGATGGTTATGTATACTTTGTGATTGTGTCTACCTCTCACTCTCTCTCTCTCTCTGTATAGTTTTGGTGGTGCTCAGCTTATAAGAGAGAAGGGCACTTTGATCGAAAGTTAATTGAGCTGCTGGGACACTCAAGTACCAAGGATGTGGAGGCCATGAAGGAATTATAATAATCAAACCAAAAGAGGGATGCAAGCAAAGAAAGAAAATATGCTGTTAAAATAAGGTAAGGAGAAAAAATGAAGAAAAAAAAATTGGTCATATAATGAGAGTCAGTCTAAAGTAATCATGCAAAACTTGTTTTTGCAAATTACGCTTAAATAATAATTGGTTTCATCTACATGTAACATCATCATACTGAGAATTTAAACCCTTTTGCAGTCTGCGATAAAAAAAAATTATTTTTGGGACAAAAATATATATAGGGGAAAAAAAAGTGTTGGAAAAATTTGTATGTCAGTTTTTAGAATTGATTTTTTAATCAATTTTAAAAATTGATATTCATTTTTCTTGAGTAATTTAACTACTTATAATAACAACTATAACAAAAAGCAAACTATCCTAATCAATTTAAGGACAGAGAAAAATGGAAAAATGAATAAAGTAACTTTTACTGTACTTTAAAAGTAAAACCGTAACTGTCCGAAGTTTCTGCGCATTTCTGGCAATTTTTACTCCAGAAATAGTAAAATTTAATATTTCCGAAATAATTTTTACTATTTCAGGAGTAAATTTTACTATTTCTTGAGTAAAACTTGCCAGAAATGCGCAGAAACTACGGACAATTCCCGTTTTACTTTTAAAGTATAGTAAAAGTTACACTGTAAGAAAATTAGGGAGTTAACGTTACTGGGAGTTGGGAGTTAAAATTTTCGAGTTAAAAATCAACTCAAAAAGGGAGTTAATAATTAAATTAACTCCTTAAAACTAACTCCCTAGGCATAAAATTAACTCGTAAAGGATTAACTCCCTTCGCTTCAACTCCAAAAGGGTGGGACTTTTATAGCATCCCTTAGGGAGTTGAAATTCAACTCCTTTTTTTTATAGTGAACTTTATTCGTTTTTCCATTTTTCTCCGTGAAGTTATGTGATTGTGATTTAAAATTTTTTTTTTACGCAAAATATGTATACTTAATAGATTGAGTTACAATTTTGTGAAGAACTCAAAAATAGAATAAGGATTCGTATAGTCAATCTACCAGAGTATATTTTGTATAAAAATTTATTTTCCTCAAATTGCATATTTGTCGAATTGACTAATTTTGCCGCCATATTGAATTTTCCTCAAATATGCATTTTATTAAAAATAAATTTTTTGGACAAATAATATTAACCGGTTAACTGGTACTGTATCATATATGTACAAAAAAAACATGCCAATTCTGGTACTGTATTATATGTATATATGTACATATTTGAATAACTCTTGAAAATTTCAACCGATTTGAACAAAAATTGGTATATAACCGTTTTTCGGAAATCTCTACCCGAATAAGGCGTTATTTTTGTAAAATTCTGAATCTTCACCTCAATATTACGACAACACAGCCACACAAATTTTTTTTTTATGTACCCCTTTCCCGTGTGGAAAAATTTCGGGGCGCTGGTAGGACGCTGGACAGACTGTCTAACGTCTCTATAGACCCAGGCCAGACGGTCTTGTCGAGCCCCCGATCAGAAATGGAACGAAAGTTCCATGCTACGGTCTAGAGTTAGACAAGCTGTCCAGGTCTTGATTCTCGCGTTCAATAATTCTTAATAATAATAGTAATAATAATAATAATCCTATTAATATTACGTATTATTATATTTATAGATAAAATTAAAACAACATTAGTATTCATTAATAATATGATTTTAATTTATTAATAATAAGGAGATAAGTTGTATTGGAATCTTATAAGTCAAGACAACTTATCTCCTCATTTAATTATTATTAGTAATTTCAAAAAAAATTTATTATTATTTAATTAATTTAATCCGAAGTTTTTTACTATTTTTATATTATCACTTAAGATTAATTAACAACACCTGTGGAAATAACACCTAATCTAATTTGAAAAATCTCGCTCGCACTGGGCACCGAACCCACGACCTAACACTCGCAAACCTACTACGCTAACCACGGGGCCACGCTGGCTACTTGGCGACAATCTGTTAATACCGGTGATGTTTTTGGCGCGCCTTTATGCTAAATTCAAAAAGTTTTTATCCTTAAATTACATATATATTTTTAATATAATTATAAAATTATTTCTATTTATATAAAAGCCATATCCATTGCCTTTATTGTTAATAATATTATAATATAATATATATATATTAATAATAATATTGTTTTTTACGTTATATTTATGATTTATCATCTCTATAATGTATCAAATAATAATTCTTTAATTATTACAATATTATAGGTATAATTATAATGAATAATATTGAAATAATCCATAATAAAGATGTTTCAATAGACGTAGTCGAGTTCGTCTTATCTAGACCGATTTTCAAGACTCAGGCCAGCGACTTTACAGCGCTACTTGACAAACGTATAGGTTATGGTCGTTTGCGGTTGTCAGTGTACTTTTATAGTTGTTGCACTTTTGTAAAATACTTTTATGAAATACTTTTGTGAAATACTTTTGCGAATTACTTTTGTAGTTGTGTACAAATATTTTTAAATAATATATTTTTTACAATTTTTACTAATAACAATTTAATATATTTTATAATTATATAGTAATTAATATTATTTAAATTAATATATATTGTACAATTGGATATGTCGAATTTGGGTGTAATAAATTTTAAATATATTTTTAGTTTTGTTAAAAACTACTTTTTAGTTTGAGGTTATGTTAATGGATATATAATATAAAAATAAATAAATTCGTGACAAAGTTTTTTCTTCGATTAAAAAAATAAATTTCAAAAATCTATAAAAAAACAAAGAATATTTTTATTGAAATTAACAGCAATATATAAATATAATTTAAATAATATTAATTACTAATTATAAAATATATTAAATTGTAATTAGTAAAAATTGTAAAAATATTTGTACACAATTATAAAAGTAATTCGCAAAAGTATTTCATAAAAATTTAAAAATATTTGTACACAATTACAAAAGTAATTCGCAAAAGTATTTCATAAAAGTATTTTACAAAAGTATTTTACAAAAGTATTTTACAAAAGTATTTTACAAAAGCATTTTACAAAAGTATTTTACAAAAAAAAGAATTTCACAAAAGTGCAACAACTATAAAAGTACACTGACAATCGCAAACGACCATAACCTATACGTTTGTCAATTCACTGAAAAAAAAATTCTGGTTAGGCTATATTTAACATTACTTTCTAATTATGTTAACCAGAATTCTAATTGAATTAACTAGAATTCTCGTTAAAATAACCAGAATTCTGGTTAACCTAACCAGAATCAAAATGTTAAATATACCCTAACCAGAATTCTGGTTATTCTAACTAGAATTTTTTTTCAGTGAAGTAGCGCTGTAAAGTCGCTGGCCTGAGTCTTGAAAAACGGTCTAGATAAGACGAACTCGACTACGTCCATTGAAACGCTTCTTAGCGAATAGCAAGACCGACTAGTTTAGACGGGCTTGCCTATGACTGGAAAGACTATTTCTAGACGCTAGACTTCCACAAGATTTTTCCACACGGGTTAGGATGGTGCAAAATGGAAACTGAGTTTGGGAATGGAATCAGAAGCACAAAAAACCTTCTAGAACCAGTTTTTATGAAATTTTGTTGATAATTGGCTTCTACCAGAATTGTCACGAAAACTGGAAAATGCTCCACCGGTTAACCGGTTAATATTTTGGCACATAACAATGATTCCTTATAATACTATTTTTGAGTTCACGAAATTCTATATAAAGTATTCTGCGAGGAAACATTTTTTGCTAAAAATTCTCACATTTCTCATAAAGTGTAATTTTTTTTAAACCATTTGAACTTAAGGGGACTTTCTGGTTTAGAATTTCAAAAAAATCGATTTTTTTTTTTTTGCTTAAAAATGTTCCATAGTATCATAGAATTACTGTCCCAAAACGTTTTTTAAAAAATATGTACAAAAACAAAAGTTATAACAATATTTATTACGGTATGTATTTCAACAACAATCTACAGTTATCTTATTTACATATTTGGTGTTCCTCTTTTATTGATATTAGCTTGAAACATGTTACTCGAGGGTTGTTGGGGTCGCTGATTACGAATTTGATGTCAGTTTTTGAAAATACAAAATGTCGGATCCAATATGGCGGACGAAAAAATAAAAATTCAACCGGATTTGCTTAAAACTTGTTACTCGGGGGTTTTTGGGGTCGCTGATTACGAATTTGATGTCAGTTTTTGAAAATACAAAATGGCGGATCTAATATGGCGGACAAAGATTAAGAAATTAATTAAATTTAGTTGAAAATGGTTACTTGTGGCCTTTTGAGATTGCTAGTTATGAATATAGGCACAAAACATTAACGTTCTAGGAACATCAAATTCGTAATCAGCGACCCCAAAAACCCCCGAGTAGCAAATTTTAAGCAAATCCGGTTAAATTTTTATTTTTTCGTCCGCCATATTGGATCCGCCAGTTTGAATTTTCAAAAACGGACATCAAATTCGTAATCAGCGACCCCAAAAACCCCCGAGTAACAAGTTTTAAGCAAATCCGGTTGAATTTTTTTTTTTTTGTCCGCCATTTTGGATTTTCCAAAACGGACATCAAATTCGTAATCAGCGACCCCAAAAACAGCGGGATACGAAGTTCTGTTGTAATAAAAAGTTGTTTGATATTCATGACTCAATGAATTATGTTATGAAAACTTTGAACGCGTTTTTCTCGAAAACTCATTTTTCAAACTGGTACAGAGCTTTTCTCGAAATCTACCGAACCGATTTTGAAATTCCAAAAATTTTTCGATTCTTTATTTAAAAAACTGGTGCCTAAACCTCTAAAAACTCATATTTCTACCCCCTGTGTTTTTATATGGAGGTAAATTGACCCAAAAACACGGCGTTTTTGCGAGTTTTTGAGAAAAATGTACATAAAAAATAAAAAAACCTTTAAAAAAAATCGTTTTTGAGGTTTAGGCACAAGAATAAATCCTTATGAAGAGATTCCCGTTTGGAATTTGAATTTATGTATTACAGGTTGCCCGGAATCTAACGTACCAAAAAAAAGGTATCTTTTGGAAGACGCCACCTACAGCTATGAAATTGAACTAAATACACTCAAACATATTTTTTAAATTTTCTCTACGCAATGTGCTACAATGTCCAAAAATAGTTTTTACAATTTCTTTAATACTGTTCTTACAATAAAAGTTTTAAAACCTTCCTTTTTTGTCAATTCTAAACCAGAAAGTCCCCTTAAAACTTTGACAAAATTCTGAATTCGTTAATAATTTGCAGAAATTAAACTTCAAATTTGTTTTATAAAAGTAACTTTCATATTTTTTTATTTCCAATTTCAAATTCATGAAAATTTGTCTTTTGATTTTGAAAAACTATCTAAATAAAATTTCTTGATAAATTCCTATGCAATTATTCTTATATATTAAGGAATTATTAAAATTTTAATATCTAATTGTTAATAGAAATAAAATATGTAATAAATTGTAAATTTATTAAAATGTGAAAAATTTCACAATTTCTTGATTTTATTTACAATTTACAATATACAATATTTACGATAAGAATTGTAAAATTTAGTATAATTTTAGTAATCAACTTTTGTTATTAAATAATATTGAACGCATTAGAAAAATAGTATTTGGTATAATAAAAAGATTTTTTTAAAAATAAAAGTGAATTCAATGTAAAAAGAAATAATCCGAGCCTGCGAACGAAAGAGGAGGAAAAAAGAAAGAAGCATATACTTCGTGGGGCCAGGCGCCTGATTACGGGATTTTAAGACCCAGACGCCAGACGTACTATGTAGATAGGTAAATAACTTTTAAATTCCATATCATTTTGGAGCGGTTTCTTTCTATATATGCTGGAAAATGGGTTGTCTAGACAAAACAAAACTTAATATGATCGTCAATAGAACCAGACGTCTAGCCATAAAACTTTAAAAACAATATCTTACAAAAACGTGTATATATGTATGTACACACATATATCTATAAACATATGCGTTATAAAGGTATTATTGACTTTTATACACTTTATGGTTCTAAACTTTAGATTCAGATCTACATAAAGTAAAGATAGTCTTTTTTAAATTTAATTAATTAACAAATATTTACTTTTTCTCTGTTTAAATAAGATATCAATTTTTCTCAGAAGAAATAATTAAACAAAAGTGTCTAATTATTAACTTTTTTTTCATTAAAAAAAAAGTGGACTATAAAGATAAAAAAACATTATTACATCAAAATTCATAAATCTTAAAAAAATGTTGCCAAAATTTTCAGCGTGGGAAAAAAAATAATATATCTGTATCAGAGCTAAATTAATATTTACTTGTTTTAAATAAAGTTTATTTAGATCAAGCAAAAAGTTGAAGTTTATAAAAAGTATAAGTATTTCAATTCTAAATTTAAAATAAATATGCGGATTCAATTTAGGGTTTTTAGGTGATGACGTTTGATTATACCAAAAGCATGAACGAAGTGTAAACTTATACGCAAATTAATCATTTTTGATATACGTAAACTGATATTGGAATGCAAAATTATTATTTATTATTATTTTACAATATTTTTTAAATTTTATTTGATGCAAAAAAAGTTTATTTAATTTGTTTCTTAAAATATGAATTTACCATAATTTTTATTACTTAAAATAAATTAATTACTGAAAAATATTTTCAAGAAATATTTATTTCATATCATTTTTTATTGATTATAATTTTTAATCACTCCAATTTATTTTATTCAAAACTTTAATAAATAAAATGTTTGTATAATCTAAAATTTATTTCTTAAAATTTTTATTTAACCTATAATTATTATGTGCACTAATTTTAAATAGTATAAATTGTAATTAAAACCAATTTTTTTGGAGTCTAAATTAGTATAATTTATATAAAGCGAAATACTGATTAAAAAAAAATTTTATATTGCACAACAATTGGTTCCTTTTAATAATTTGAATAAATAAAATTTTTATGAAATGATTTTTATAAATAATAAAAATTTTAGATTATACAACATTTTATTAATTAATGTTCTGAAGAAAATAAATTGAAGTGATTAAAAATTATACGATAGAAATATTTGCTGAAAATATTTTTGAGTACTAATTAATCATTTTAAGAAATAAGTGAGTAATAATAATAATAATAATAATAATAATAATTTTCATGTCTTTTGCCATTTGAAATTTGATAAAATGACTTTTAGATCCCATTTACATAAAACTAATATACTATATTCCAAGAAGTCGAGTTTTAAAAATGTTTCATTTTTAAAATGTCAATAACTTCATACGTAAGATTAGGATGTAAAAGATTCTCAAATAGAAGAATAGAAACGCATTTTTAAGGCGCCCATATAACTTTGTCGGAACTTTTTTTATAGTTGAACCGCGGGGCAATTTTGAAACAGAAGCAAGTTTTTTTTGTAAAATTTTTATGATGAACTGTGTTAGTTTATGATGTATGTTTTAAATAATAGTTTGATAATTTGCCTACAGTGAAATTAAATTGTTTTTTCTTTTATTTTTAATATTGGCATTGAGAATAAAATTTGTATGAGATTTTCATAAATGTAAAAAAGTGAATTTCGGAAAAATTCTATTAATTTTTAAAAAATGATTGGTTATTCAAATGCAGTTTATTTGATTTAAGATCATGTGAAATGTTATTATTTCACATGTAAATATTCTCCGTAGGTTTTCTCGCAAAATACTTGATAGATTTAGATAAAATTTTATGGGGACTCTTTTTAAAAACAAGAATATACTTTATGGAAAATGGGAGAGTTTTTACAAGAAAGTGTTTAAACTTTAAAATAATTGAATTTTAGAAGAACTTGATAAAAATAATTTGTATTGAAACAAATTGATTAATATGATTGAAACTTATTAATTTGGTGAAAATTTTTATATAATTTTATAAATAATTCAGATCTACAAAATAAGACTTTGTCTTATTTGCCATGATTTTGAGTAAAGTGGGGTTTTTTTTTTCTCCTTAATCTAACGTGCTAGACACTTCTATATATAGGCTTAAATTAATAAGCTTAAATCATACACTTTATAAGGCCCATATGGGTAAGATAGAAAAATTTCGAAATTTCGAAAAAATGGTGTTAAAGACACCAATAAATTTTTTGGGTGTCTTGAACCTAATTTTTTTCAAAATTTCGAAATTTTTCTATCTTACCCATATATGGGTCTTAAAGTGTATGATTTTAGCTTTAATTTAGGCCTGTATAGAAATCTCTATCACGTCAGGTTAAGGAGAAAAAATATACTGAAAACCCTCAAAAACACTACGGTTTTTGGAGACTTTACCTCCACTTTACTCAAAATCATAACGTGATACGCAATTTTAGAACTCGGGATCGTATTCTGCTCACAAAAATACATTAGAAACGCACTCTGATATTTAAAAAAAAAACCTTGTAAACCTGTGTAATTGAGTTTTAGAAGAACTTGATTAAAACTGCAAAAATGAGTATCTTAATAAAAGATGTTTTAGTAGTCATTTTTAATATGTTTTGATAATCACTTTTTAGTTATTTGAAATATCTTAGTTTAAGATGTTAATAGTTTTTTTGCCAAAGTGTTTCACAAATTGTTGATAAAAAAAATTTTGTAGTTAACTATGGGCTCTTATATTTTAATAACTTAAAACTTTGACGTATTTTACAACTCACAAGTATATCTTTTTTCTTAAACACCCACACTGAGAAAAATATGCTATTGAATCAACAGCATTTCTGCCAAAGGTATAAAAATTACTGATTCTAAAGCATATGCTATAAAATTTGTAATATATTTTATAGATTCAATAGCATATGCTTTTAAATCAATAATTGTTATACCTTTGGTAGAAATGCTATTGATTCAATAGCATATTTTTCTCAGTGCACAAATATCTAAATTTACGTAACTTAAAGAAACTTGACGAAGTAACTTATATTTCAGGATGGAAGAAATATTTTAATTTTTCTTAAAACACAAAAAGCATCTTAAGTATATTAATAAGATACTTTAAAAAATATATTTTTTTTAAGTTGCAAGATATCATTTTTCCATATTACATATATTGTAAGATACCAAGTATGTCACTTATTTTTGCAGTGTAGTTAATTTGGCGAAGAATTTTAAATAGAAATTTAAAAATAATTGATTTTCAGATGGGTTACAATCCATATTTTTAGAATTAATTAAATTTTACGAGATTTTGAATTGAAAAGTTTTATAAATTTGAATTTGTTAATATGCAAAATTGATAAATAAATAATTTTTGTAAATTTATAATTTGTTTCTTAAACTTTATTATCTGTTCTTCCGAGAGATATTATTTATATTAAAAATTTCTAAATGTCAAATAAATAATTTTTTTCTGCAGATCTGTATTACTGGGGATATAAACGTTCTTTAAAAAAATCTAGTTAATTGTAAATTGGCGTATTTTGAGTCGAGATTGAGTATTTACAGAGCGCGAGAGACTATAGGTTTTTGTGTGTAAGAGGCGGGTGTCTAAAGAAAAGTGAGGGGCAGTGGGGAGGGGGCGAGTATACAGCGCCACCAGTGGCGAGTAGATAGAGCAACAGAGTGTCGGCAGCCATATTTTAACCATTATTCTTGTGTGTATGTTTAGTATGCTGCGGTAGGTGTTGGTGTGTTGGCGCTCTGCCTCAACTCTCTCGGAGCAACAGACCAAATGAGAAGAGAGACAGACGGGTGCGGACGGATTCGACTGCATACATGAGTACAGTAGTGGTGTTGCGAGTGTTCAAAAAGTCCTCAACAGAAGTGAACATCAGTCTTGTCTAGAGAACGAGGTGAATCGAGCAAAAAGTAAACCTCGTGTTTCTACTCCAATCACCAATTGGCCTTTAAAACATATATCAAGTGTTACCAACAGTTTTTTTTACCTCTGCCTTATTGTTAACTATATTAACAATATATAAGTGATTTCTGCCATGTTGATAATGTACAACTCTCATCGACCTCTACGTTTTTGTATAAGAGAGTTCTCTTCTCCTCTAGGTGAATAGAGGAGAAGGAGGGAAAGTACATATACAGCGTGTGTTTCTGTGTGTGTGAGAGTAGTTGCCACAAAACTTGGCGACACTGCGAAACGCGAGTGCATCGTTGTCGTTTTTTCAAGAATGTGACAGTGTTTCCCCCCCTTTCCCCCTTGTGGTGTGTGAGTGCGTGTACTCTCTTCTTTATTTGACTTGAAAATTTCTCAAGAATAATGAGGAGAAAGATTGTTCGCGATGAGCTGACAGAATATGTCAGACAATGTGTGTGAGTTACAAGGTAACGTTGTCATGTAGTGCTGGAAATCGGACAATTTACTTGCGTTGTCCGAAAACGTTATCAGTTAGTGTTTTGGTGTAGGACTAAACAAAATTCAGAGAAATAGAGTCTCTCTCTCTAAGGGAGTTAAGTTTAGAGTAAACGTCGGGGGGCGAGTGTAAATCCGCTGGCTGGATAAAAAAAAAGAGGAGCAAATAATAATTTTCCTGCATTTCAGTTAAAAAGTACTGGCCCCCAAATGCGTGTACGAAAACTCCTGTTTCATGTTCATGTTCTGGAACAAACGGGCGGTGCTCACTAAACGTCTCCTAAAGGCCAAGGTCTGCGGGGAGCATGAAACCGAGTGTGAAACTCAAGAGGATTCGTCGCAAGTTTACGTTGCTGCTGAAAGGGTTTTCCCAACGGAAGACGAGGATAGACAAGATCAAGTGTTATCCAAGGATAGCAAGAGTCCGACAACGAGACAAGAGAGAAGAAGAAGAAGTCGAAGTGTCTCGAGAAGATTGCACCACGGTTGTTGTGGAGGTGGTGATAGATTACAGGATGAGGAGAAGGATATAAGTCGTTTAACATTGTGTAAAGAATTTTTGAAAACGCTCAAGGAAAATCAATTAGAAATGCTTTTGAATGCAATCGAAAGTTTTGGCGCCGATCTTGGTTCCTGTGTTTTGGTACCAAGAAGCCGACTAGACAACGAGCCTCAACAACAACAACAACAACAAGTACTTCGTCGCTCTTACCGTCATCATCATTATCCTCATAATCATCATCATCATCATTATTATTTGAGACATCTAAACCATCATTATTCGCATCATAGACAAAACAATGTCTGCGATGATAGTTCAGTAGTGACTCTTCCTCCAACTAAAATCGAGAGGGAACGATGTCGAACGCCAACAAGAGGATCCATGTGTGATCTACCATCAATTGATCCACTTTTACTGTGTTGTCAAATTTGGCGATGGCCGGATCTTACTCATTCATCGGAACTCAAGAATCTTCCGGTTTGCCATTCCTCCAAAGATCCTGTTTTCGTTTGCTGCAATCCTTATCACTGGAGTCGACTCTGCAAACCTGGTAAGTAGTCTTTATTTGCTTTCCGCTAATTGGATTTAAATTAGTCACTGAAAAAAAATTCCTAGGCGATTTAGCTTTGCTCCTAGTCACGAGAGGAATCCATTAAAAATCAGAGTTACATTAACTAGGATTTCTAGTTATCCCAACAAATTCCTTGTCATAATAACTAGGAATCAGTTAAAGTAACTCTGATTTTTAGTGGATTCCTCTCGTGATTAGGAGCATAGATAAATCGCCTAGGCATTTTTTTCAGTAGTTAAAATTAGTTTCGATCTGTATATTATAATTGCAAATAATCAAAAATTTCAATTTTACAATATTCAGACAAAAAGAGTTCAACAGTGGAATATGATTTATGAAAATCAATGTTAAATGAATTATCTTATTTCTGAGTATTTCTATTTTTGCTTCTAATGTTATATAATATGTTTGGAGAAGGAAGTATATAATTTTATTTAATAAAGTTGTATGATAGTTGCATTAATTCCATTCGTCAAAGATCATATTTCATTTGAACATATTTTTTCAAACTTTATATTATTGAAATTAAAAAAAGTCTTTTTAAATATATATTACGAGAAAATATATCTCGTATGTTCTCCCTTTAAGGAAATAGAGTTTGCAGCTTTAGGTTTTGTCGCTCTCAAAACATTGAAGATGTGACACCTGTTGCTCTCGTATCTCCTAGGCAACGGAAGCTACAAGTTTCATTCATCCAGTTTCCCCTCTATATGTATATGTATAGGAACTCAAATCCATTCAAGTTGAAAATTCTAGTTTTCAAGTTTATCCTCCTCTATTATGTAGTACATGTCAGTTTACTAGGAAAAAAAAGTTTGAAAAACTTGTGCTCTCATTCGAAAAATATGTAGATTTTTACAAGAATTAAGCACTGTAAAACGAAAGGTATTAATTTAATACCGATTTTAGGAACTAAATTGTTATATATATATCTTAAATCGGTACTAGTTTAGTACTTTCTTTTTACAGTGAGGTTATTAAATTTTACTTAACAATTACGTAATTTTTTGCAATTCAGTAAAACCCACGTATATCGAATTTGAATAGGGACCAGAAAAAATATTCGATATAGGCGGAAATTCGATATATCCGGGTTAAAAACTTATAATGATCCACGGGAAATAAAAAATATTCGATATAAGTGGAAATCCGATTCAAACGGGTTCGATATACAGGACTTTTACTGTATTTTATCAACTAAATATACATACTAAAGAATTAAACGTAAAAGAAAAGGATGACACTAAAAATGTTATTTTTGAATTTTACAGAGTATAAAAAAATTTTAAAAGTTAACAAATAAATTGATGTCAAGTAGAATGTAAAAATATTAAACGTAGTAACATTCCAATACTGTGTTTGAATAATATATATTCATAGATATATACATTCAAAGGGAATAGAAAGCCTGCTTCACACACGTGTAATTAACTGTAATAACTGATTGTGATATGACTCGAAATGTTCTAGATCATGCAACTATTAGTATATATATATATATATATTTTTTTTTTTCCTTTTTTTACCGTAATAGGTGCATAAAAATGCCATTTGAATCTTCATAATGCATTTAGATTATATAAAATAAAGAGAAAAAAGAAATCTTCTCTAAATTATTAAATTTTTTTTTAATTTGCTTACTTGTACTGAAAACCTTGATTGAAGTATAATGCGTGTACCATCGTCGTTTTGCTATTTAAGAATTAGCATAACTGGCGTAGTTTGAAAAGGCAACTTGCAAATGAATAAACTAAATATGAATATATATGTAAACATTCATTCAAAGAAATGCAGTGTGATAATTTGTCTAACTAATAATTGCAAAATCAATGTCTTTATATCAGAGAAAAGCTGCTATGCAAATAATCTTTGTTTTGAAATGTGAGACAAGTCTATAGTATAGATTCATTTAGTGATATTATATATTATAAATCATTTTCTTAACTTATATTTAAATGGTTATTCAAATTTTGAACCATTAAAAGTAGAATTAACAAAAATTACATTTCTTTGAAGGGAACAATATTGAAAGTATAATCTAAATTTGGACAATTGCTTATTGTTGGAAATTTTTTAATAATATAAATATTCAATACATTTAATGGTTCAAAATTATTATACGCAGTTTTACTGAAAAAATTTTAAATTAAAATTATTTTTTTTAGAAACATTTAGAATTTTTTTTATTTGGGTTTAGAAAATCTGTAGTTGGACTAATTTTTCTTTTGATTTAATATGAAAAAGGCGTACATCTATTGAAAGAATTAATATAGCTGTATATAAATAAAGAAAATCTATAGCTTTCGTGTTTGGATCACCTATATTAGAACGAAACAATTGAGTTATTACTTTTATTTGTATCATGGCATGTATCTTTTGCGATAACATTGTCATTGTAGTAACATTCAATTAGCTGTTATAACGCTACTATTATTACTTTGATATTTGTATTAAAATGCAATATAATTGATTTTTCTGCAATTTTTAGAGAAGAACAAAACAGTTACATTTATCATAGTACGAATTTTTAAGTACATTAATTTTCAAAGATAAATTGTAAATTTGCCATTTAAGAGATAAAACATTGAATGATTGTTTTACTATACATGTGCGGATAACAAGCAGACATAAATTTTTTACCATGAGTTTTAGTGTCTTGCACCACATAGGTCGTTAAAAATATACGAACGGCGTGTTTGACCACAAGTTGTTTATGTATATATACCCATATGAATGGCATTCTGACATTCGGAGGTAATTATTTTAGAAATGAAATAAGTGACCCGAGGATAAACAAAATCAGTAGCTAATTGCATATTTTCCAAGTATATAGAAGATTGCAAACTAAAGTATTTTGTTGCTATTTGAATAATCCAATGTTGGACAAGAATTTGATGTATATTTATATAAACCGAAGTATGTGAAGAACATATTTCAGCAGGTATTTGGAATCGATTGTTGAAGACACGCGATTTACTTAGGCTAAAATACACCTGCTAAGCTGAACCAGCTCACCTTGAGGAACCGGCCTTTAACGATCTTTCATCTCTTTTGGAACCAGTCGATTCATCTACCTTATGTACTTTACCTACTCCGTGCACGTATTATTTAGCTTGACTAAAGAAGTCGAGGTTTCAATCATATGGAGATGATATTTGCTAATAATAAACCTGCATTCTTCTTGATGGTAAAAAAAAATAAAACTTTTACGCCATCAGGTCTTTTGAGAAAGGCAATTCTTAATATATTTATAGAAATTTTTCCATAATATTAGTCCTTACTTCTGGCTTCCACATTTTATTGAACCCTATTATAAAATCTTTCTATGTTGAGAAAATAATCTCAATCACCATTTTTAAAAATTAATTAAACATAGCGAAAAATGAGAGTGAAATATTGTGTATATATATATATATATATATATATATATATATACTGGGAGATTATCAGGGACGCTGATAAAAAGCGTCTTGGCAGAAGATCGCAAAACACCAATTCTATTTTTGATTCGTCTGAGAATAGCACCGGCATTGGATATCGAGGAAAGTGTAGTGTGCACCTGTAAAATATTTCCCACGAGCCGACATTGTCGGTCATTATCGAGAAGCATGGCGCCACCAAGCCGACACATTTCTTAAAATGATTTTATCATCCTATTGACATGGCCAGCTTGCTTACTCGAATTGTCCAATTTGGTATATACACTTTCGACATAACTTGTCGCCTTTCATTTTTTTTTACTTATCGCTGCCCCACTGCGGAAATTCATTTTATTCAATGGTCATTGCATGACGAAAAAACTGTCGCCTTCTCGACGTCGTGTGTGTTTGTATGTAACGATATAGGCGCCAGTGCGCTTTTACGTAACTTGACAATCGCTTAACTTACTCGTTTTCCTGTCTGTCTCTGTCTCGCACTACAGAATCAATTTTGCCATTTAATAAAGCTGCGAAAGTTTGCATAAAAACATTTTTCTTGAAGTAGCTAAATTAACTATAGCATGAATGTATCATTTCGAAGAATAATCTGAAATCATTAATCCTTGGAGACAATTCATTATTCCCAATATACCTTAAAAGACTAGACGGACTAGACCAAAGATTGTTTTCATGTCAGAACGAATTCCCCTGAGCATTATTATATTTTGTCTCTCTTTCTCTCTCACACAGAAAATTCTTAGAAACACTTGAAAAACGGTTACAAAGTCTGTTTCGTGGAACATAAGCAGCGCCAGCATACAGTTTCAAATTCCATTTCCATTCTGACCTGAGGCTATACTCTTGCGAGAGACAAAATGGAACGTGTTCGCAGAGCCTCTCCCGACGAAAAATCGACTGCCACACGGTTAAAAAAGAAAGCCCCCCCATCGTTTGTCGGTACAATTACAAGACAGACACTACTGATTATCTGTATATGCCCTGTTCTTCCATCTCTCTTCACTCGAGAATCGAGATGTCGATAATTATTTTACTGGAAAAAAAACCTGCTACAAAGAATTTCAAAAGAAACAACAAACCTCTCTTTAGATATTCTTTTTTCATACCTCTTTTTGCAGTGACGTCAATTTATTCTTCTGTTTTGCCAAATTGAATTGTTTACTTCCTCACTTTGCCAAATTGATTCAATAAAATTACATTACGTATGATGTTGTACACTTTGGGTGTGTATTTTATCACTAAAAAGTTTTTCTATTTTTTAAAAATATTATGAAATTTAGTTTCATTTCACATGATCCAATTGAGATTACTCGTGAGATTATTAGTCCTGAATTTGTAGGGTATAAATGAATTTTAAATTAGAACCACCAGAAATTCACGAGTAATTATTAACTTTTTTTTCTGTTTTTTGAGAAAAATAAATTGTTGTATTTAAAGGTAACTTATACCAGAAAACACCAGTCAGCAGGATTGCATTTAAAGACCTGAAGTACCAGTCGCAATTTGTCCCTCCATAAATCTTGTATCTTCTACTTCCGTCTT